TGAGAGGCTCAGAGAGAGGTGTCAGTTATTCTCAGCCCCTGTGGTCACACACTAATCTGTGGATGCACTGAACAGAAAGCTGCAGTGGAGTGCAGCTCTGACACATGTACAGTAACACCAAGTCAGTGCAGCAACGAGACATTTTCCCATCACATAAGCTCAACAAAGTTCCACTGTCATGCCTCACGATAGCTCTACTGATAATGCTCTACCTGCTTTTTCCTGTAGAAGCCACGAGTGTCACAGTTGGGTATATAGATGTCGCGGTCAGACTGGAAGATTGTCAGCTCAAGACCCCTCAGGACGCTATTGAGCAGCTTGCGACAGGGTGCCTGAAAACAGCAACGCAGAGTGTGACTTCAAACACCGCCAGAGGCAAACAGAGAGAACCTGCCTTAATATGAAGAGTGGCAGTGGCAAGCTGCTATCCCCCCTCAGGTGATTGTGTTGGCAGAAATCCTCTTTGCAGAACACATGTCGATGTGAATCACTAAGGATTAGCTACGGTGATGCAGCATTCCGGCCAGAAGCAGAGAAAATGCACATTTCTATATATGTAGATCAGATGTCACATATTGTATATCATTATATAACCATATTGTTATCCAATGCTTTTGATTTTCAGGTCACTGAATGGTTTGAAGTGACTCTGCGTTTTTGTGTCACTTTGAGAAATTGAACTGTGCAATAGCCACCTAAATATGACCATTTAGGTGGCTATCGCATTCTACTTATAGCATCCATACTGGCTCAGACACTGCACAGCAAACCAGCTCACTAACTGAGAAATCTGTAGCGGCAGCGGCCGGCTCGAAACTTTCCTGATTCACATCATGCTCAATTAGTTCTGCCGCATAGCAGCACACACATCATGCACCATAATGCATGGCTTCAGAGCAGTGTGTGCGTGTGTGTGTGTGTACATGCCACTGCAACACCCCAAACGACAGAGGATCTATGGGAAGAACTGTGTAGATGCAGCTCAACATACAGCCATAACAGGGTTAGAAATGTCAGATTTTTAATGATTTAGGTGAAGATGGAGTAGCTTATCTCACAATAAGAGGATGAACTTACTTTTTCAATGTCACCACTGTGTGAAGGATGTGGACCTGAGAGGAAATGACACGCCGACATGAGAACATTGAAGCATGATACCGGTAAAACAGCACCCATTGTCAGATCATACACTATATACTTAAAATAATGCACTCACACTTTGTGATATAGCTTTGCTTCTTTTAGCGTAGTACATTAATGAACCTTCAGTAAGAGGACATGCATGTGTGCTGGCCATTTAATGAGAGACCTAATTTCTGTCAGTACGGCTCCTTTTCAGATAGTTAATCGCAGTATCTCAGTTTGAACAGTAGATGGAGATCACTGCAATAAAAAGCAGCTTGATCAGAATGTAGGTGACACTGTTACAGTTTTCACATTCATTCTAAATTCTCTACAGAGAAGCCGGCTTGTTGGACAGATCATTGTCATGCACCCTGTCACTGAAATGGATGGTAACAATAACACTTCATGGGTGCATATCTTCACTTACAGATCCCCCAAAATTGAAGAAAGCTCACACAAGGTGTAGTTTTCTCTTTGTTAATGTGATTGTGGTGATTTTCCACCATAAAAGGAACTGACATTTTCATCAACAGCGAAGCCAGAGGTGCTGCGGAACAGATGCCAGAGGTCTGCAAATTCATTAGTGGTGCACAAAATGCAACCAGGCTTAAATGCCACATACTAATTGTCCCTTCTTGTGCTGGTAAGTGACACAGCATCACATGCAATTTATAGCAATACTGGGGGAGGCACACTGTATATACACTAATGTGTGGCTGTCGCCATATATCCCCTTCAAATCAAGCCTATATGCAGTTGCCGTGCAAGCCCCTGTTTGCATCTGTAGGTGCGTGCCTATGTGATTTCATGCACGTGTGTGTGTAAATACAGTATCTTACCTGTGGGGTGGGGCCTCTCGGTGGGACTAGTCTTGCTGTACTTGGCGCAAATGCCCCTTCCCTGCAACAGAGCCTGGAGGGGGCTGTGCTCCCTTGGTGGGGGAACACAACGGAGCCCCTTGGCACAGGTCAGGGTGTACACACCACAGGGCTCTCCTTGGGCCAGCACTGACGTGCTGCCAGCAGCATTATGGTCCCTGGGGGGCCGACCTGCCCCCAGTGGATCCTTGCAGGAAGGGCAGACCTTGAAGGGGCCCAAGCGGTTCGCCCCGGTCCATGATCCGCAGTGAGCAATGAGCAACAATACAACGGTTGTTAAGTTAGAAAGGATAGGCATTTTCTGTCCAGGTCTCAGGTTCTCCACACTGTCACTCTCTGTCAGTTAAATGTAGCTGATGCTATTTCTGGATGTATATCTCTCTCTCACTCTTACTCTCTTTCCCTTTCTCTCCTCTTTCCTCAGTCTTCCTCCCGCTTCTATACAGTAGCTCTCCTTGGTGCTTTGCCGGTCGAGAGTCCCCTGCAGTGCCAGATGAGACAAATGGAGATCGTGAGAGACACGGCAAAGCACCAGCTTTTAAAGATCTGAAAGGCGGTGATAGAGAGAGAGAGTGAGAGAGAGAGAGAGCACAGTTATGACACCTTCAGGGGCTGGGACTCAGAGAGAGAGAGGGAGAAAGAGAGAGAGAGAGGGAGGTGGCAGGGAGGGAGACAGAGCAAGTGGGGGGTGGATTATGTTCCTTTCAGAAATTATCAAAATCTCCCCACCCTTTCCTGGTATATACGAACACATTCATCTAGTCCTTCTTCTTCCACTTATGTTCAACATCACCCATGCATAAACAGTAGAAGTCACGTTCAGCCATTTGCACTTTTTCCAATGTCAGAGACCTTTCTGGAAGAACATTTGCCATGGTAACAAACCCAAATGTATAGTATGAGCTTCCATCGGCGGCGCTGCCACTGCATTGTCATTCGCCACGACAAATGCACAGCTGTGTGTTCGCTCCTGCTCGAGTTCGGTTTGAGGTTATGACAGAATGTTTCCTGAGCAAACATGTAATCCTAAAACTGAGCTACACACCTGTAATACTCCGTCTTTCTGTCACACGTGTCAAAGTTCACAGAATGAGCTGGATTCAGAAGAAATACACCAAGAAATCCAGCGTGCTCATACACTGATGTAAGTTTACTCCACGCACCAACTGCGTGCATCAGCCTAATCACTGCCATGTCGGATATTGCATTACATCTAATCCAGTCTTTCATAAGCTGTTAAACCTCTAGATTATATTTCAGTAGCTATCAGATATTAAATGGCAGTTGGAGCTTTTGCTTGCCAGGTGTTTGACTTGGAAGAGTAATCATCTGGATAATTAGAGGGAGGAGGAGAGGGACAAATGCACAAGACCAAACTGAATTATGCTCCACTCAGTGAGGATTTTCTTCAGCTACTGATTCCTCTGCGCTTCTTCTCAATGTACAACACTTGACCGTGGCATAATAAAATGGACACCTCAGCCCAGTTATGTTAAATATTCTCATGTGATTCAGATTATTCAGTGTATCTAAATGATGTTTTTACAGCGCACAAAACTGTAAAAGGCACAACTCTTGTTTTCTTACAGGCATATGCAAAAAGTAACTTTGCAACTACTGCAGTTGAGAGAGTGAAGTGGTTAGATCAGACCTCTCATTCTTAGTCAAAGCTGCACTTTTGTGTATAGTCATTTAGTTAGAAAAAGCATTTATGTTTTGGGAGCAGTTCTTTCTGGTTTTTTTTTTTTTGCCACTCTTGTCACTTATGCCCAACTATCCCTGCAACATATCACAGGATTACAACATCACTGGTAGAGGTTGGCCTAATATTGATTGAGTCTGCCAAAACAGCTCTTATCCATCAGGGCATGGACACGGGAACTCTCTGGATGTCCATTCAGCGGATCCTTTGGGTGCTGTGAGTTACAGGGGTGGGACCTCTGTGGTTTTGGCTTGTTCTGGCACATCATTGGGATGTTTGATCAGACTGGGGGAGGCCAAAACTCAACACCTTAGGCCCTTTATTGTGTTCCTTTCAGGTTTTGTAGTCTGGTAGGAGCTTTGTCCTGCTGGGGGAGTCTGCAGCCGTCAGGGAGTGCTGTTTCTCAAACAGTGCTTATGCGTGATAATAATCAAGGTTATAACTTTACCTTGCCTTTCACTGGTCCGCATACAGATGTAAAAGCAAACAAACAGGGCATAAATATTTATATTAAGCCAACAACGCTGAGTGGTAATGACATTTCTCACTAGCTTTTTTTTTTTAATACAGTGCCTGACCTTAAGACATTTAGTTGTTAAAACGTGTGCCTGGCTCCCGCAGTAGCAGCTCAGACTCTGCAGAGCATACAGACATACCCACCGGCCTGTACTGGCTGGAATTCAGGGCTACATGAGGCCAATTTCGGCCTTGCCATCAGCCGCCTGCTGTTCTGATTAATCTTGGCAAGAAGGGCAGAAATCACCTGCCGTCTTGTGTTCCCATCAGCTTGCAAGCCGCAGCACTTCTAGTCCTTTTCCACATATTAGGAGAATGTTCCAAGACACTTGCCAGACCGACGGGGGCTCTGTTTTCCACAGTGCCCTGGATTATTCATTTTTCCTCCTTCGGGCAGGCTAAATACAATTTCTTCCTTCTCTTGATTCCTCCATAAAAGTTCAGATCTGTCCCAACTGGCTCAGAAAGTTTCTCTCTCTGCTGCCACTTCTTCTTCTACACAAACCCTGTGGTGGGGAGTGGGTCAAATCCCCTCTGGACCCCTACTGAGGTAGCCAACTGCCTAATTCATATTTATAGTAATGTTTCAGTTTGGGATAATGAAACAGAACCTGTGAACAGAAGGCGAGGTTTACAGAGTGTAAAGTGTGTGGTGAGGGATTCATGAACATAATGAATCGTGCCAAATACATGGCTGATATATACATCGCAGAAGCGGGATTGGCCAAGTGGCTTCTCACCACTTCTCAAACCTCGCTGCAATTGGCCCGTTCAGCGGAATGGGGCGTGACGTCACTGGGAAGCGCCGTTCCCAAAGTTTACACAAGTGTGCCGCTGATGGATGGATAGCTGATGGACGAAAGTGAGTTTCTGCCTCATTTACTGCCTAGATAGCAGGTTAGCGAGTGAGTTATCGGAAATGACGGCTACACTGACGCAAAACTCGGCTCTCCGGCTTTAGGGAACAGTCTCTCGTTGTTCTCTTTGCTTTGCGCTGAAGCATAAAGAGGCTATCGCATTAGCCGCTAATGACGCTAACCTGCGTTTAGCTCCCTGGCCAAATTCAACCGCTTTCCCCCCCTCTTCGTCTGGTGAGCTGATGTTTGTAATTTTGGAGGCTCGTTTAATCATCCCTTAACTGTAACCTTCAGCTAACAATACACAAGTTACCTGTTTGACCATCACCTGAACTTAAAACTAGCATCTTCGTTAGCACGGCAGCTGGATGACAGATGTAAACATCGGCACGCCCCCTTCTTGCGACTGTGACGGCGAAAGCTTTACGTTTGTATTTCTAGTGTACCGTTTCTCTTATGTCTTGGGGTCATTGGAAGCAAGAATTTTATAGAATTTAAAACTTTAATAAATGTCAATAACTATCATAACTATGATTTATTCTGGCTAGCTTCAGTGTGTGTGCCACCTGTTTCTTCGTGCTGATACATGTTTAATAGTTCATAAAATGGTTATAGAAAGTAGGTGACGATTAAGACTGAGATTTATTTAGGAACTCATCTGTATAATTGACTGGCGGTTTATACATGTTATTAAGTGTATACAGTTCTCTGAAAAAGCAGAAAGGCTATTTAAACCTATCTGGCCCTGTGTGAAAAATAAATTCCCCCTCGTTAAATCACGCATGAACTGCAATTAATCACATTCATTTTCAACTGAAGTTCACTATATTTGCCATATTACTGATTGCTGCCAGACTTTTTGTCTCAAGAATTCTGTTAAATAGAATCTGTCTGATGAAGTGAAACAGGATAAAAGCAACACATCATGCCACAATCGAAAGAAAGAACAGATGAGAAACAAAGTCATGGAAAGGATTAGAGAGGCATTCTTGAGGGTTTGGGACTGCAGTGAACCACGGTGAGAGCCATTATCTGCAAATAGAGAAAATTTGGAGCAGTAGTGCTCTTTCCCAGGAGTGTCCGGCCTTCCAAAATTACTCCAAGAGCGCATCTACGACTCATGCAGGAGATCACAAAAGAACACAGAACACAGAACAACATCTACAGAACTGAAGGCCTCAGTTAAGATTCAGTGTTCATGATTCAAAAATAAGAAAGAGACTGCATGTCATCTATGGGAGTGTACCAAGGTGAAAACTACTCTTAACCAAAAAGAACATAAAGGCTTGCCTTACATTTGCCAACAACATCTTGATGATTCCAAAGACTTTGGGAGAAAAAAGTCTGGGAACTGATGAAAGAAAAGTTTGCGTCTTGTTACATTTGGCGTAAAACGAACACAGCATTTCATAAGAAGAGCGACAGCTTTTGGTCTGAAGTTGCTTTGTTGCTTCAGCGTGACTTGCTGTAACTGATGGAAACATGAATACTGCTCTCTACCAGAAATTCCTGAAGGTGAATGTCTGGCTCTTAGTTCATACCCCAAAGGTCAAAGTATGTCTTTGTGCCCCCTTTTCCCTTTTAGCTCCCCTGGCTAAACTTTGCTAGATCCGCCCCTGCACAGTTACCAGCTGTCAGCTATGTAGAAAAGGATCCTGGTCTAGAAAGTAATATTAAATAAATTCTAACAAAAGATTATCAAGCTTAAACGTGCTGCTGTTGTTCAGCCGCTGGTTTCCTCTTTCTGGCGCGAAGTGGGCGATAAACAAAGAAGAGAGACGGACTTGCGACAGAAAAGGCAATCAGCTGATCATTGATCAGTTTCACGTTTTAAGTAGCAGCAGGAGAGGGAGGAAGAGAGAAGAGGCAGTCGCTCCATATATCGGTTGTTAAGCTTAACGTGGGAATGCTTTACAAACATTCAGAGATGAACTTACACACTTGCTTTACTTCTCTCTGGGATCACTTCCTCGGAGATAAAATGCTGGTTTGGTAGCGAGGCTACAAATACACACAGCCGCTCTATCACGTTACACATACTGCTCCGACGTGCTACGGTTATGAACCGAGTTACGCCGTGTCGCAAGTTTTGTGAGGTGCTTTTTTGATATTTAATGGATCGGATTACATTTTTTATTTCTCTCCGATATCTGATCCAGTAATTTACGTCAGTATCGGACCGATACCGATACGTAATATCGGATTGGTCCATCTCTATTAACTACTAAATTGTTGGACAGACCCCTCAGAATCCTCTCCCAGAGTTCTGGGAGCCTCTGGAAGAGGATTTATATAATTTGAGAGGTCTGTCTGACTTCCTCGACTTCTCTTAGACTGTTTCTCACCTATTTTCTTTCCAGTTACTCCAAGGAATAAATAAGATAAACAGTCAAACTGTTGCATTCGTCAATGTGAGAAAGGGCTTAACTGAAAATGGGAGGCTAGAGTTGATCAAATAAGCCTTCAAGCTGATGTCTGTTAGCTCTGTAGTGTAGTGGTTTACATATTTGCCTAACCAGCGAAAGATCCCTGGTTCAATCCTGGGAGGAGACACAAATACCTTTCGGGTTGTGTCAGGAGGAGGATGTAGTGTAAAAATCTGCTAAATCAAATATGCAGAGCTACCCTCTGTGGAAACCCCTTATGAATAAGGTAGCAACTAAGGCTACGTTCACACTGCAGGCGAAAGCGCATCAAATCCAATTTTTTTGACCCTATGCGACCCATATCCGATCATGGTGTGACAGTGTGAACGGCGCAAATCCGATATTTTCAAATCCGATCTGGGTCACTTTCGTATGTGGTGCTGAATCCGATACATATCCGATGTTTCAGAAAGTGATTGCTGTTTGAACGGTCATGTCGCATTAAATCCGTCTTTTACGTCACTGACACAAGACAGATGCCAATTATCAGCGCCCGAGAAGACATCGTGAACACTTCCTGGCCATCCGGTGAAACTGCTGGGAAGACAACGTTGGAGAAACGTTAACATTTTATTTGTACTGAATAACCTGCAGGTTCTGACAGAAATCTGCAACTATCCTTTGAAGCACCGCTCCTCTAAACAGCAATAAGGATCATTATTAGGTTATCTACATTATTATGTAAATAACAAAATAACTTAAAGCAAAAATCGGGAAACATGAAGTCCGAAGTCTTTATATTAAGGCCATCAGTCAAACAATATAGTTTGTTCTGGGTCTAAACAGAGCGCGTTGTGTGTGACGTCTTCTTTTGCGCATGCGGGCCGCTTTGAGCGTTCACACTAGAGAGCGTTTGCTGTTGCATTTTATTTGTAGTGTGAACGAGCAGACAAAAAAATCGGAATTGAGCATTAAGACCTGCAGTGTGAACGTAGCCTATTGAGCAGTGCTTAGGTCAAGTGCAGAAGGGTGAGACATAAATTGTCCTCACTCTTAGATTTGTTTGACCAGGCACATGTAAACATCACTCCAGGTTGTGGCTATGAAGAACAAAGAGTTTGGAATAATTTGTGGAGAACATACAGAATTACAGATTACAGCCGGGTATGAAACATGTCTCAGAGTGAAGTCAATTCATCATTAACCGGAAACCGGACATGCCCCCCCCCCAAAAAAAAAAAAGAAAAGAGATTAGACAACAGATTGGCCAGTGTGATTTGATAGTAAAGATTACAGAGCCTGCTGTACATGATCATAAAGTGCTTATTTTGTTTTAACAGTTCCATTTTCTTTACTCAGATGGATGACATCAACGTACTACACCACAGATGCCTCCTGAATCTGAGGCGTCGTGTCAGAGACATCGGTGATGGTCGACCAGCACAGGAGCGATATATGAGGCTGCAGAAGGATGGAGACACACTCAGGTCAGCCTGTTCTTAAATGCCACTGTTTGGGGATTCACTTGAAGAGATCATTTGGCTTTGTTGAACAGGGTGAAGAGAGGACTGTTTTGTTTTGTATTGCTTAGACCTTTGGAGCCTCTTGTAATTACTGATGCACATTAGGAACAGTTATCAGTGCCATGATAAATATTTTCATTTCCAGTAACAGTCAGTTTGGCAATTTATTTTTTTGTCAGTTTATTTATGTAGAACATAATCCTGGGAAAGGTTCCATCTCCCGTGTGACTCTAAGATGGATAAGTAGGGAAGAATATGGGCCAGTACAACCATCATCAAAGCAACACTGGTGATGGTAGAAATTTCCTGACATGAAGGTTTAACAGGCTTGGAAGTTCACACACTAAAGATGTACAGGAGGTTTTCTGGTTGAAATCTCTAAACACAGGGTTTTTCTATACAAAATAAAGTCACCAGACACTTCAGTAGATACAGAGGCCACTACTGCCACGAGCTCACCAAAATTGGACAGTTGAAGATTGGAAAAAACGTTGCCTGGTCTGATGAGTCTCCATTTCTGCTGAAGCATTTGGATAATAGGATCAGAATTTTGGGTAAGCAACAAGGAAAGCATGGATCCATCCTGCCTTGTATTAACAGTTGAGGCTGGTGGTGGTGCTGTAATGGTGTGGAGGATATTTTCCTGTAGGGCTGCTCGATTATGGCAAAAATGATAATCACGATTATTTTCACTGAAATTGAGATCACGATTATTTGACGATATTTATTTAACCCTTTAAGACCTACTATAGAACCAAGTCCACCAGAGCTTATATTATTTTTTTACATGCTGTAGTGCCATTTGTGGGAGCATTTCAAGTTGCTATACATCAATACAACTGTTATAGCCCATATTTTAATAATATGTATGCATTAAGTCCATAGTAATTACATAAATTGCAAAAAAGTGCAATAAACTACAAAAAAAATTGAAAATCGCTTTTGTTTTGTTTACATATATCTGGGTGGCTGTAGCTCAGGTGGTAGAGCAGGTCATCTACTGATCGGAAGGTTGGTGGTTCGATTCCCGGCTTCCCCTAGTCTGCATGCCAAATATCCTTGGGCAAGATACTAACCCGAAATTGCTCTCCGATGCATTCATCGGAGTATGAATGTGTGTGAATGTCAGTTGTGCTTGTGCGGGTGAATGGGTGAATGCACAAGTTGTGTAAAGCGCTTTGAGTGCTCAGAAGAGTGGAAAAGCGCTATATAAGAACTAGTCCATTTACCTATTTAATATACAATATTCAACTTGGAGAAATGTGAAGACGTTTATCCCTCAATAATTTAAAATACAATAAAGGAAAAAATAGATTAAACAACAAAATTTATTGATGTCATATTTTATTTGAATACAGCAATATAACGCAGAAAAACAAAAACAACCTATTGCATTGCAGAACAGCAGGTGCTTTCACTGGGAAGTTACGAAACTAAAGTAATCGGAAATATATTCTGGAAATTACACAAAATATTTATATATATCCTAGCAAGAAAAAAACATTTATACAATTTTGAATAGCTATATAAGTAGGAAACGAAAACCTGAGAGACAAGATGAATAGGCATTACAATACATAGATGAGAAGATAAGTTAAAACGAACAATCCTATAGAAACAGACAAGACGGTTTCTAGATATTTGAAGTATACTGCAAAACCAAAATTAATTAATGCATATTAGACAAATAGACAAATAGTAGAAGAAGAAACCAGAATGAACGAACAAGAATGAACATTCAGAAAGAAGTCATCTACAAGGTAAATAGCAAAAAAATAATATGATAACTAATAGATTACAAAAAAGGATAACAAATTAAAACAGAAAAAAAACAAAGAGCGTGCTGCAATCTAGACAAGAGACTAAAATAAAAATGTAAAACAAGCTTTAAAGGGTTAACAATGACTTTAAAAAATAATATAAAATAGTGTGCAACACCACTGAAGTTTTTTTTTTTAAACTCTCTTTTCAACCAACGGCAGTCACTCTCCAAATAACTTCTGCTTAGCTTTCCGAGCTTCCCTCGGGTCCTCTTAATCAGCGGTCTCCAACCTTTTTTGCGCCACGGACCGGTTTATGCCCGACAATATTTTCACGGACCGGCCTTTAAGGTGTCGCGGATAAATGAGGGAGGGGCTAATAATCGGCTCAGTCATTTTTAATGATCGTTGAAAGCCCAGATCGTAATCGTGATTAAAATTCGATTAATTGAGCAGCCCTATTTTCCTGGCACACTTTTTTCCCCCTTAGCACTAATTGAGCATAATTTCAAAGTCACAGCCTATCTGAGTATTGTTGCTCACCATGTACATCCCTTTCTGACCACTGTATACCCATCTATCATCTTATGGCGGCTTCCAGCAGGATAATGCACCATGTCTGGAAGCTCACTCCTTGCCTTAACTACTGTATATGTGGCCCCATTGTGCTTATGTGTGCTATTTGAGCCAGGAATAGCGACATGTCTAATTTATTTGCATAGCTTAACATTTTTGTTCTCAACAAATTCTTCTTATTTCCAAAGAGAATTGATTTGAGTCTGCACAAATGTATAGCTGTCTGCAGAGACATTTCATCATGGATATATTTATTTATTAATTTTCAAAATTGAATGGCAAAGGAAATAAAGCAGCAGTGATCTGCTCCCCCGATCAAACACGCAGCAGACAACAGTCTCAAAAGAAAGTCCACAAAGGGCAGAAACAATTGCAATCATTACACGTGTGTGGTTTATTTGAATTATATAAATCTGCTTTTGTTATTATTAGCATTTTAATGTCCATCTTATTTCTCACATCTGTTGCTGTGTCGGTGTGTGCCTATTGATCAAAATCAAGAGGACTTTGTGTGAGATGAGATGTATTCTTTCTGACTGTGCATACAGCAATTACTAGAAATCACCCATTGTTAACCTGTAATTTCTCCTCTTTAGTTACCAAGGGAACTCTGAAGAAGTGGGATGCTATGTGGCTGGCCGGCCTTTATCAAAGGGAAATTGCTACTTTGAGGTAAGGCACATCGATAGTGATGCTGCATGTCAGCATTGTTTTATTGTATTCCAAGTACCAGGATTTATTTGTTCTCTTGCTTCCTCTTTGTAATGTTTAAGTCCAGCAGAAGTGGATGAACAATATGAAATCAGTGGATCGTTATTCATTATATGATAGCCCACATACCACCATCCTTGGTTGTGCCCGCGATTGCTTTTCCATCCAGCCATTTTATCCCCTGGAATCCAGTTGCTGACAATTTTCTCAACTTCATATTAAATTCTCGGTGCCCCCCTACAGCCTCAGTTCACCAGTGCAAAACCACTACCTCAAAAATGTCCCAGCTGCTTTGGAATGAGGGATGGGGTGTCGGTTAGGTGGTTATCTGTAAGCGCAGAGATTAGTCTACCACACCAGTGTTTTTCAGCAGACAGGAAGGCATTCAGACTAGCAGCAGGAGAGGTTATTATACATTTATATAGCAAAGCTGATGCGTCAGTCCCTTCTGATAGTTGTTATCCTTACGGACACGGGCGGAGCCAAGGGGTAGCCTGGGGTGGACACAGTCACCACAGATTATAGTCTGAACATCCTTCTCACTACCGCACACAGCACTGTTGTAGCCAGTTAGGCAGTGTCCAATGTTTTCCCCTACCAACCCACAAAAAGCAAATTTTCATCACTACATATATATACTGGGAATCTTAATCTTTAATAATAAAACATATTTTATTAGTAGATTCGATTTAACATTAATACTCACACGTATCTATACTCCTAAATCCAGCATCCACATGGGTAAGTTAGACAAAAAAATCACCCTTGAGGGACTGTAGTTCTTCAGGGAACTACTGAGCTGGTAGTCACCTTGAGGCCGTTCCAAGAATTTGCTGGTCTGAAGTTACTGGTCCTGTTTGAATACATGTGGTAACCAGAGACCATGAAATGTCAAAGAATCTCAATGGCCTGTAGTGAGGTGAAAAAACTGGATTTACAAGCCCCGAGTGAACCTTAAAATCAGCTTTTAGATGAGGCATTGATGCAGCGACCGATTCACTAGTAGGATACCGATGATTGGCATGTGAGGGGGGTGGTACATATGTTACAGGGTTACTGACGCAATGGGGAGCCTGGAATGTCCACTAGCAACCAAACATCAGCCACAAAGCGATGCATTACGAGCAAATCGTTTTGAACGGGGCTTGATATCTACTGAACCAGTCTCTTTCTGCTGGGCTGCAAATATACTAAGACAGGACCCTCCAGCAATACCATACTCTTCTTCAAATGATTCACTTCTTCTAGTTTTCTTTTCACATCTTTTCTTCTTGACATGAGAAGCATCATTTCAGATATATGTTAAAATATTCCTCTACTGAGACTCTATGCAGGCTGGCAGCATGCTTTGACATTATTTCTTATAGCTGTGAGGTGTCCCTGATATGTGCCAGAGTTGACATTTCTCTTAAATCTGATGTCAAACTCACATATGACCTCTCTTCTCTCCCCTGCAAGGAAAATCTTCACAATAATAATGTTTATACTGAAACAAGAATCACATTTGGAGGATGGATTTCTTTGACATTTGGTGGATTTTACGTTGGTCATTACCCAGAGGTTTGCGCTACATTATTCTCCACTCTGTGACGCACATGCTGTCAGTTCCCTGGATATCTCAAAATTCGGAAGAATTTATTCTGATAAAGGTCGTGGTTCTGTGCGCATCTGCGTCACCGCTATCCTCGTGTTTCCCCATCTTTCAGCTTTCACAAAGAATCCATTTCAGCTCCGTTGTCAGTACCGCTGCTCGCTCTCCACTTCTCCTCCTCATCGCTTCTTTCAGCCCAGACTGAACATCTGCAACATTCCACTTGTTTTAATAGATTTATTTGAAAAAGTCAAAACTATCATAACTTAACGGAACATCATGCGTGCATTCCTGCTCTTTCCTAATCTTAGTTGTCACACATGTTTTTGTAACTTTTATTTATATCATACAGACACAAATGATATTTCAACAGCACAGAAGTGGTATTGTGCCTCGGCCAAGAATGTACTTTTTTACAAACCAGTGATCTACACTATAATCTCTCAAATGCCAGATTGGAAAGGAATCAGACCAGAAATCTTTAGTAAGGGAAACCCAAGAAGTGGCTGTAGCTCAGGTGGCAGAGCAGGTCAGCCACTAATCAGAAGGTCAGTGGTTCGATCCCAGGCTGCCTCCTGGCTGCATGCCAAATATCCTTGGGCAAGATACTAACCCCGTGTTTGCCTACTGGTGGTGGTCAATGGTGGCGCCTGTGTCCGGCAGCCTCGCCTCTGTCAGTGCGCCCCAGGGCACTTGCTATCGCCAGTGTGTGAATGTGTGTGTGAATGGGTGAATGACTGAATGTAGTGTGAAGCGCTTTGGGGTCCTATGAACTAGAAAAGCGCTATACAAATGCAGGCCATTTACCATTTGGTTTCACATGTTGATATACTTAGAGAGACAGGTGGGACACTTTGCAGGTTTGAACATTCAGGTGTGTGTTAAACAAAACCACAGTCTTCCCAGGATTAAAAGTCCCAGCAAATTCTCTCCAACAGCAGACTGTGCAATGCTCAGAGAACGTGCAAAAACCCCAAAAGCTGATTCTGCTGACCCCAGTTAGCGTGTTATCCCTTTATACCCAAATACAAATGTATTCTAATGTTCCAGATTCCTGAACAAAAACAGAATGTATCAGTTATCAGTTATATCAGTTTTTTAAAAACTATACATAACCATTTAAGATTTGTACATTTATATTTTCATCAGTTTTTCCTCCTCCTGTTATCTCTTCCCTCATCTTCACCTATCCTCTTCCTCTTTTATCACAAGCCTCATCTTCTGAGCTCAAGGCAGGGATCTAATGCAAAAAACTGCACATAAATATGCTTATGTAATTACTAATACCATCAGCAGAACAGACATGCGACTCTCTCGTCTCTGGATAGCTGCTACATAGAATATATATAAGCTATATAACAGACATAGCTGTTGTTGTTATAGCTGGCTAACATTATGCTAGCTAATGTTAGGCTCAAGTGTTTAAACATCACACTGTTTCGATAAACAGCTTCATTACATTCTCATTTCGAAATAGAGCTTATTTGCTATGCTTGAGCCTGACAATGTTAGATCTAAAGAATTCAAAGAAAGCTTCAGTAACACCAGTTAACAGTGGCTAACATTGGCAAAAACACAAAAATGTTTACCGAGAGAAAAGTTCAGGTAAAGTAGCATTTGTTACTGATGAATGCCAGCCAGAGCATTTGAGGTGAATTGGGTGTAAAAACAAACAAACAAACAAACAAACAAACAAACAAACAAAAAAAACATAAAATATTGCAATTAACCTGAATTTTTGTGAAGTGTTGATATTCAGAAGTGTTGAGGTATAGTGTGTACAGAAGTGTTTTGTACACAAACAGTAACAGTAGAAAATGTCAACGGCCATTGTGGGGGAAACGAAAAGCAGCTGGCTATGGCTGTTATGGTGTAAACAACGTTAAGTGTTGAAGCTTGTGACTGAAAAAGACTGAACAAGCATGGTTTGTTTGGAAAGATTGCAAGGAGAAAGCCTCTTCTATCTAAAAAGGTCATGGCAGCATGGTTTACGTTTGCAAAGTTGGGTCATGATTGGGTGATGGGTGATGTGGGGTGAATGTGATAAACTGAAAAATGAAGAGCCAAGCTTTTGCAATGGCTCCAAGTCCAGACCTCAACACGATTGAAATGCTGTGGTGGGACCTTAAGATAGCTCTGCATAAATGGATGCCCACAAACCTCAATGAACTGAAGTGACATTTTAAAGAAGTGTAGGACAAAATTCCTTAACAAAGATGTGAGAGACTGATAAAGTCATACAGGAAACAATTACTTCAAGCTAGTTATTCTTGCTAAATCCCTGGTTCGAGACACAAACGTAGCTGGTCCCTAGTGCCAGTCCCAAGGCTGGCTAAATGGGAGGGTTGCGTCAGAAAGGGCATCCGGTGTAAAATCTGTGCCAAATCAAACATGTGGTCCATCCACAGTGCTGACCCCTTGGGAAAATAGGGAGCATATGAAAGTACCTTTGTATTTTTTGAGAGTATATGGAATATAATATCCCAATGCAACACAGCAAGTTACTTGTATATCAGAATCAGAATCAGAATACTTTATTGATCCCTGGGGGAAATTATTTTTTGGAGGACAGCGTGCAAACACCATCTCCATTGGTTTCGTACTAACAGTTCTTTGCTCTGCATAGCCAACTACTTCCGCCAACAGACACTGCAGACCACCAAGAGACGTGGTGGCACTGAATTAATTTAATGTGATTGTAAATGACCTGGATACAGTTAGTTCAGGCTGCGGATTTCATATCTGAATATTATACCCTTACCCTTGCTTCTGGCATTAGACACTGACTTTTATCGATGTTTTAGGCATTATTGGCACTGTGGCTTAAATGAACTGTAACTGATGCCACTGTAGTGTGTTTTCAATATAATGTGTGTGTCTTTGTGTAGGTGACCATAGTGGACACAGGAGTGAGAGGGACCATTGCTGTGGGCCTGGTGCCTAAGTTCTACAGGCTGGACCACCAGCCGGGCTGGCTGCCATACTCTGTAGCTTATCACGCTGACAACGGCAAGTAAGTCAAACTGGAGTTGCCTATACGCTACAGGGCAGTGGTGGTTTCTTGCATGGTTTGGCTGCTGCATTTATATATTGGTTCGGTAGTGTTAACTTGCTCATTTCCTCATTTCTTGGTTTGTTGATATTTTGTTTTGTGTGACTATTTTAATAGTAGCAAAAAGGAAATTTAACAGAAGTAGTTTAAGGTTACTTTTTCAGAGTATTTTTTTCTTTTTGTTTGATGAACAAATAAATAACCAGTTCATCAATAGTTAAATATTTTACCTTCCAGTTTTGCTTGCTTCGTCCTATGAATACTGTGTGTTGGATTTATACACGTGACTTACTTTTCAAAGCAATACATTCTGCCTCAGGAACTGATTCATATGTCAGCATCTAATTTCACTTGATGATACCAAATTTCAGCACCAGACAGATGTGTGGCCAATTATCAAGCCAAAGTGAGCTGTAATTATGCGCTTCAAAGTAATTGTGTTTACATATTTTTAATTTCCTTTCATGTTAAGTGAGATAATGGAACGTTTCGTCTTGTCTGGCTGCGTTTACTGAATATTTGAAATAATTTTTGCATTCTTTTACTTGTTTCGTGGTAGAGTGCGACAGCTGTGGCAACACAAGGTTTACGTAGTGAAAGCTGTACAAGATTACAAAGTATGCGGTTGTAGTTCAAAGAAGCTTGGACTTTTCTTAAAAGGATTTTTATCTCCTCTTTCCATTTAGGTTGTATAATGGCAACCCGGTAGGGCAGCAGTTTGGCCCGAAATGTGCTCGTGGTGACCGCATTGGCTGTGGAATACACTCAGAAAATATAGAAGCAGGTATCACAACAGTCTTTTTCACCAAAAACGGGAAAGAGGTAGGTATTTTTGTTTTAATAATAACACGCTCATTTCAAATGGGCACGCAGGGTTGTTTATTCAGGATTTTTACATCTCTCCAGGTGGGTTCAGTAGAGGTTCCTGTGTCGGCAGAGGGGCTGTTCCCTGCTGTGGGGATGCACTCTATGGGGGAGGAGGTGAAGGTCGACCTGCAAGCTGAGTGGTTCCTGGAGGAGGATGATAGTATGATGATGGTTGACAGCCACGAGGACGACTGGGGACGACTTTATGACGTCAGGGTGAGCGGCACGGTAAGAGCAGGTTCTTTTTTTCCTTCTTTGCTTGATTAAAAGGGATGTTTGGAAACATTGGAAGTTCAGTGCTTTTGGTTATATATTAGTGGAAAAAGGTTATCGTAGGTGTTAATTAATTTGCTTGGGCTGCCTCCTAAACATTACTGATCAGTCACTCAAGCCACATCGAGAAGGTGAAGGAACTCGTGTGCTGCTTCTCCGACTCTCTCAGCTCTGATGTTTAATGTTAGTGAAGATTTTGTAAAACCTCTTTTTTTTAACTTAATTTCTGTGTAATTTTTGTTTTTATATCACAGTTGAAGAGCAAAGCCATTAATTATGGGATGAACAGTGTCAGAAGAGTCCATTATGGGATGGCTGCCCATTTGTGTTTGTGAGACGTAGTGAAGAAGAAATGTTAACCACCAGACCTAAAATCAATTAGTTGAAAATATTTAGTAAAATATTTGTTCAGTTCAGTGGTTCTTTAATTTTATAAGGACGATAATTATGAAATCCCCTTTATAATCCTTTATAATAATAGGATAGCTTATGTTAAAGCATATGTTAAATGCATTTGTCCTATTACCTCAGAAGACTTCAGTGTGCCTGTGGTGTCACGTTTTTTCGGTTGTGTTTTGACCCTCAAATGACAGGAGGAGTAGAGCATATAGGTCAGCATGTGACTTAAAATCATGAAACTTTACCTGATTCTCTGTGCTGTGGATGCCTGCAACGTGGCTTGATGCAGATTCTATTGACAGAAAATAGACCTGGAACTTTTTATGTTGATACAAAGGGATGTTTCTTTGTAGCAACATCTTTCTTGGATGTTTCTTCAAATTAAGAGCAACTTACAACCAAATCACAGAGACACCAAGTTTGTGTTAGTAGTCCCAGGTTTGGTGCCTGTCCAACTCTGGCTATTGTTAGCTTACCTGCTAACATTAGCAAATAGGCAAACATTCAGCAATTAGCATTAAGTCGCTGCTTTTTGAATCTTTTCACTAGAAAAATGTTATCTGAAGCCACAACACTGTTTGTGTTCTGCTGTCAGTCCTCTGCAAAAAGAAAAATGAATATATTGCTGGTTGGACGCAACTGGGACAACTGAGGAAGCCACAGTATTCATTCCAACACTGGGAGTAAACAGTGTCTAATACATGGAAAAAATTGCATAGCATATTGTACATAAGTGAATTATTGTTGTAGCAGCTGGAGCGACCGTGGCTCAGGGGGTTGGGAATCGCATCTGTAACCGGAAGGTCGCCGGTTCGATCCCCGGGCTCTCTGTCCTGGTCGTTGTGTCCTTGGGCAAGACACTTTACCCTACCGCCTACTGGTGTTGGCCAGAGGGGCCGATGGCGCGATATGGCAGCCTGGCTTCTGTCAGTCTACCCCAGGGCAGCTGTGGCTACAACTGTAGCTTGCCTCCACCAGTGTGTGAATGTGAGAGTGAATGAATAGTGGCATTGTAAAGCGCTTTGGGTGCCTTGAAAAGCGCTATATAAATCCAATTCATTATTATTATTATTAAAAGAAGCAACAAGGCTACAAAACATTAGATTTTCTTGCATTCTGAAAGTGAATCTCTTCATTTAAACATGTCAGCCTTTTCCCCCATGTTATTTAGAAATGTTCTGAGTTCATTAAATGATTTAGGAGACGATGTTTATTTACATATTGGTACTGTTTTCAGAAGTATAATGGTGTGGTGTACTCGTGTATAAGTGGTTGAAGTATTTGCCTGTTGTTTATGTTCCTTCTTTTGGGCCATGTACAGTATGTGAAAACAAACACGTCGCATGTGGTTTTTTGAACATATGTCTTTTGAATGGGACAGATTATAGTGTGGCTTTTCTGCAGCTTGCTCTTCTGTGCAGTTGTTGACATTCCACCATGTTTGTTCTGTACTCTTACAAGATCCTTCAACTGCCTGTTCTTTACCAAATCCCTCTTTGTTGACAGCTGTGCTTAATGCTCTCTAAAGTTCGGGGAAAGCTCCAGACACAACCACTTCAGTTTGAATTATTTTGTCTCAGCCGTTGTATCATCTTGCCGTGACGGGATTTGGGTCACCTTTGGAGGGGTTTTGCAGATTGCTTCATGACATCTGCTCAGGAATTTTCCTTTGAGTCCTGCACACATCAGTTTCATTAACAAGATAAACAGCCGACTTACAGTAAAGGAGTCGTGTCTGCTGTGCTTTCTCTGCCTTTCTGCTGCATCAGAGTCTGGGGTGATGCAACAGTTTGCCATTTGTACCCTCAGAGCTTAAGCATGCAAGCAGGGCCGTACACCAACTTTTTATCTGCACATGAATCTGAACAGGATCTACCAAACTTCCATTAGGTTGCTGGATGTGGCAGAACGCTTTCCACATGGTAATCATTTAACTGCCATCATAATAAGCAGACATAATAGTACTGTGTTAGCGGTCTAACAAAATAAAAAAAACAAAACCCACTCATACAACACTCACAAAACATTTGGTGTTCACATTTTCACTCAGTCACAAAAAAAAAAAAATTAAGGCTACTTAAAGTTCAGACTTCTTTTTAATTCTTGGATTCAACCACCCCAGCTTTGAATGACTTACCGTTTAAAAGTAGCCCTTATTTATCTTACACACGGCTACTCAATTCATCCACCATCTGAAACAAGCCATCTATTGCTGCCTGAAGTTGATCTATTATGCTAATTTTTAGCTCTGTGTTTTTATTCTAGCTTTGCATCATTTATTATTCCAAAGTCCTACTTTATCTTACCCTGGGCCTCGCTGCAGATTGGCCAGTTATTCGCTGTCTGATATAATCAGTTTTAGGTTTTATACCTTTTAGACGTTAAAGCTTAAAAAACAAAACAAAAACATGAGGGCTATTCTAAAACTTTGATGTTTTATGATGTTTTTTTTATTATTACTGACATCAGCCTGTTATGGCGTCACACTGTGACATCATAGGGCGAGGTATTGAAAAATTAAAAAGGGGGTTTACAGCTCTCTCCATGGATTACTCGATATGGTTTCTTTACATTTTTTTCAAGGTCAACTTTGACCTCGGGCGCTAACAGTGAAGGTGAAGGTCAAATGCTTAGCCAACCTACATACTCATGTCCCCCGAGGCCTAGTATATTGTTTGAAGGTAATTCATAAAAAATTGCAGGTAATGATATTTGGTTAAAAATAATATTTGACATGACTGATTTTCACAAGATTAAATCATATATATAACGATATATATCGGATGACGATATAAAAACATCTATCGTTTCCTATCACGCTATCGTTTGTTTCGTGGTGTTGCAAAAATAAACTGTTTACAGCAATATTTTTTCATAATTTTGATGGTCACTGTAGTGGCTATATTAATTTCTTAAAGTTCTCTCTTTCTCTTATATTTAATATAACCACACTACGGACGGACAAGCGCCTGTTTTTACGTGTTGTCGTTAGCAAAAATGATGGTAAAACCATTGCCTGTCTCCGCTGTCTGCTTGTTTATTTTCCACGTAAACCTTTCACAATAAAGCTCTTATTTTGAAAAGATCATGTTGAAGCTTTTCAAAATAAACTAAAATCATGTGAATGAGTATGCCGAGTGTTTGCGAATGAGAAGCAAAAAAGAGCTATCAGGTGCTAAAAAATAAATGAACAGGCTTTTCCCCACAGCATGCCGTGTAATAAATACAAAGAAAACGGCGGCTGTTACAACTTATGTCTAAAAATGTATAGTTAAACAACGCCCAGCTGGAAACACTAAACGCAAGTCGAGCTGCCCGAGATTCACAGAATTTACAGAAAAATGTTAAACTTTTGTGATTTATATTGTTGTCTTATATCGGGATATGAGATTTTGGTCATATCGCACAGCCCTACCAACCATCATACAGAAGTGATTGAAAATGATATCTTGACGACTCTGAACGTTAAACTGCTAACAAACAGACAGACAAACAAACAAAACTGAGTACTACACGATGAAGACTTAATTGTTAAAAAGAATATGTTTAAAGCATTACAAAGCATGTTGACAGTCTGATATGTGGCAGCTAACTTATTAGTCTGGATCCTGTTGGGCTTAAATTAGATTATTGGCTGCTTTAAGATAAGGTGAGGTAGGGTAGTTAGTGCCTCAGATTGGTAAAGTGAAATTGTTTTATTTTCTTAGCCAGGTACGTGTATGTCTGTGTTTCAGCCATACAGTTTGTGATGCATCTTTATAACCAACCGTGCTAATGTTATCTGATAACTTGGTACTCCACACCCTCTCAGATACGGTAACTTCTGGCTGCAAAGAGGGTGACGTTAATGTGGCTACCTCTTATATACAATCTGATTATGATTCAACAGTTCGTGGTGGCGGCTTGAATGGAACTCATTGTTGGCTCAACTGTGTCATCAGAGGTATCACAGATCTTTATTCCCACCTGTTTACAGTGGAGGTCTATAACACCTTTGTTCTGCTTCAGCAAGTAGCCACAGGGCTACAGGTAGGTCTGTCATTGGCACAGGGGAGATGAAGGCCAGTGTGTGGGTGAGGAGGATGATTCAGCCAGCCGTCTTGCTCATTGTCTCTCTTTTCTGTTTTTCTGGACCGCAGAGTGGCAGTGGCACGAAAAGTGTTTTTGGAGCCAAGTGCCTGGCAGCACACCAGGTTGTAAAAATTCAATAAGTGCAGGAATGGGACTCTAAGGAATCTTTTACTTTTTCTCATGTGGTTGGAGGTTTTCACAGCTGGGCTGGCCTGGCCTGGCAGTGTGGGCTGCTCGGCAGTCCGGCAATAATTTTTTTTCTTTATTCTTCCTCCCTTTCTAAGTCTCTTTCATGAAGAAACAGACATTAGCCTTAAAGGGACAGTTCACCCAAAAGTCAGATGTATGTAGATTCCTGGAGTATGGAGTGCTGTTTTTCCCTTTACATTATTTTTGGCGTGTCTTGCCCGGTTTTGGAGATATGAGCTGCATTGATTTTTACCTTTTATTGATTATACTGCAACTTAATTGCACTTGACTGATGG